CAAAGCGGAGTGCCTGAGGATTGCCCTGTTGCCAAAGTTCCCCGAAAGGAACCCGCAGGACCTTCAGGAGGGGAGAACAGCCGCCCGCCGCCGAGTCCACCCCCACCACCCTCATCTGCCCATCCCGCCCCGGCAAACATCACAGCCAGTGAGCTGGAAGGTGGGCCATGACTTGACAGGAACCTTTGGGTTCTGTTCACCTGAAAATTACAGGCAGGTAGTTAGAGCAACTAAACTATTCAGGTAGGCAGATCTCCAGAAGCGGGGCAGAGTGACCTCTTGTTTAAACTGGCTAAGATAAGCTTGCCCTTATCTGTGCTTTTTAAACTGTCTGGATGTATAATGAAGTGCTGATGAACGTAACTTTTCAGCTTACGGATTTAGATTCATGTATTTAGATATCCTGCTTATAGCAATGCTGCATAAGTCCAGTCACCTTATCTCTACAAAAGTGAGTATAGCATCAGCCTTTTTCATTTTAAATTATTTGAATGTGAGGCTGTACTTTTTTTCTTTTTTCATCGTATTTATTTTAATTTTATTCTATATTTTAAACTTTTACATAATGTTCACTTATGTCAATCTGTATTTTTTGAACCAGAATAGTCTCAAGAGATTTTACTTAATAAATTTCCACCCTATCACTTTTTTCACCTTTTTTATCACCTTTTTGTTACTTTGCTATTAAGTTTATGCAGATGACATCTGTTATGATTGGCTAAATCCCTCACCTCTGAAAGAAGTGATAATCAATGCTTATGGGTTGCATTTTTACTGTGGCGGTCAATATTGTTGCTGCTTCGCCATTTTTCTATAAAAGCCTCCAGTACGTGGACCCTTTCCACAAACTGTGATGACGAGTTATTAGCATGGTAAATCTAGTAAAGTTTTCATTTTAATAAAAAAAAAAAAAAAAGTAACATAATTATAACATCATACTTTGTTTCTCTACCTTGGCATTAAATTACAGGAAACTGGTTAATGCTGCTATGTGACTGTTTCTAATACTATGGCTGAGGGAGTGATAGCGAATTTGACATCTTTCTCTTTTTTTGACCAATGTAATCAGTCTCTCTATTTTTGTGGGAACTCAAAAATAATATTTGGAGTTTCAGTTTAACACTGTAAGCTTAACCAACTGTGAAGACTTCTGCTTCTGAAAACCCTGTAAATGTGAAAAGGGTCCATTGTTACATTACAGGTTCAGTATCATGATCTTCCTCTCTTTCCAGCTTCCTCATTGTTTCAAAACTGTGCAGCCAACTGCAATATGTAAACGTAAAGGCGAGAAACATCCTGTTTTCCATAAACAGCAATCAAATATTAACATTTCTATGCACAGGTTTGGGAGCCGCAGCAGAGCAGTTGAACCAGACCGAGCTGGCAGTGCTGCTGAACCTGCTGCAGGGTCAAACAGACAATCTAAGCATCCCGCAGATGGCGGAGTATCTCCGCAGCTCGTCCTCTGAAGCCTCCACGTCAGTGCTCTCCAGAACGCCCGCCGCCCTCTCCACCCCTGAACCGGACGCAGCGCCGCAGCTCGAACTGCTTAGTCATCTCTCCACCTTAATCCAGTCCTCTAGCATCCCGCAGCCGGCAGAACTCCCGCAGGAAGACCAGGCCGGCCTGCTCACGCTCCTGTTGGAGCAGCTGATAAAGGCCCCGGCGCCGGGGGCGGAGCAGGCAGATGAAAGCAACGGAGTCCGGCCGGATGAGGGTACGGCACGAGGCGGCTCCGCTTCTGTCATGGGCAGCGATCGCGAGGGCAAGTGTTAGTTAAGTCTATGGGGGGCGGGGCCTGAGTAGTCGAATGCTGTGATTGGCCTGCAGGCTCGTTATGTGAGACCCACCCGCATCAAAGAAACCATACGCTTTTCTTGCAAAGATGTCACTCTTTTTTTTTGTTGTTGTTTTCTTCCTAATGTCTTACAGAGGGGGAAACGTTTAATTAGTTGAAAGGCTTCAGGCTAACGAATAGAGAAATAAATTGTCATGTTTATTTGAAAATCCAGATGTTTATTTTCTGCTTTTCGTGAACTTCCATTGAGTTTTACATTCATGCAGTATTTAGTTTTATTTTCAAAGGAACAAAATCCCCAGAGCCCCGTCTGCTCGCTCACTGCGTCGGTGCCCAGTGGACTTTTTGTGTGCAAAAATCTGCTCACAGCCAGGACGTGGGAGCTCTTCATCTATTGGCACACACTGCAAGTCCTTGAGAGATGGTTACAGTGTGTGCGTTAAATTGTCACTCTTTTAAATCCAGATTAAACAGTCCTAATAAAGAGCCGTTTTGGACACATCTCTATTTATGTGCCTCTCTTCTAGTACATTCAGAAAACAACACTTAACTGGAGTAAGCTCAGTAACATTTCCGACTGCTGACTTGCACGCATCATTTAGCATCTTACTGAATTGGTTTAGCACAGTTGGGTGAATCTTAAAATCCTGTCAATAATATGCCCGTATCATATTTCACTCTGACATTGAAGAATTTATATAGAATTTGTTTTTCATTACTGTAATGCATAACCTATATTTTATATCTGCATTACAGTAGTAAGAATATAATTTATATGTACATTTCATTGCTGTAATGCAAAAAAATATTATATATATATTGCATTACAGTAAGAATTAATTTAAGATTTTTTTTTTTTTAATTAATAAAATTATAATGTATAATTTTATACAGCATGGTAGCTTACGATTTATGTTCATTTAAGAAAATACAGAATAATTTAAGACCGAATGAGTATCATTGGGAAAAATCTTGAGGAAATTCCAAAAGACAAGCGTGAAACATCTACACACTTTATGGTAATGAGAGGTGGAAAATGTGCTCATTTAAATTTATATAGTTTTAAATTTGATTTATTTGACTTTTATTATGCAGATGTCAAGTACAATAAATCTAAAAAAAAATAGTCTTCATGCAAAATGATTGCATTTCTTTCGGTTTCTGATTTTTGGGGTGAAATGTGAAGCGAGCATTTTCTTGAATTTTAAAAGATGCATCCATTTATTTGTGAGCATGAGATACTCTATAGCTTTTGCTGGTGTAATTCGGCTTAATGAAGTCTAATTAAGATCGACTGACCTTGTCTTGCCGACTGACACCCTCCAGCTCATTTTTGTTCCAGCTCACACACGCTTTTGTTTCCACTCTCAGTTCCTCATTGGTCGTTTTCATTTCTCTCTGCCCTCTTTTCACATGGTCTTTGGGGTCTGTGAATACACACTGTAATAAAGCCTTATTGTGAGATGAGTGTCAAATAAATTCTAGCTATACTGCATATTTTGTCCTCACACTTATCAATATTTGCTTTGATGCAAAAGGGCTACTGTTTGTTTTTCACTTTATTTTTGTGTTGATCTCACCATCAATTTGTTGCATTGATCAAAGTCTCCCAACTCTTGTAGATATCCTCTATGTATGTGAACGTGATGTTTACTAGTGCAAAAGGAACACATCTAGTTTGATAGCTTATTGAATAGTAATAATAGTCTGCTAATATTTAGACAAACTACTGCTACAATGTAAAATGCACAAATAAAAGCTAAAATCAGTTTAGATAAAACATATTTCATTAGTTCCTGAAAAAAACTCCTACAAAACATTTTTTTTTTTTCACATGCATCTCTAGTTTTAAACTCTCCCGTTGTGATCTTATAGAATATTTATCACCTCAACACATCTATTTCAGCTAGGATTTGATTAATTCAGTGTCCAAAGACTGGAGTAAACAACTGCCTTTTTAGCTTATGACTGAGTTTGCTGAGACTAGCTGTACGCAGATTTAAAGTGAACTATAGTTTAATTCTTTTTTCCCCCCATATTTAAATTTGGATGTGTCACTGCCATTGTTCGATAGCTCAACAAATATATATATATATATATATTTTTTTTAATTCATGATTTTTTTTTTTCTTAAATAGCCTTTTCTTAAAATCATAAATATATCACTATGACCCATTTATCTTTAAGATTAACAACTTGGATGTTTAAAAACAAAAAAGCTTCAACTCTAGCTATATGTATTAGTCCTGAAAGAAGCGAAGTCTAAAATTGAAACAATATAATTTTGCTGAAAACTAAGAAATGTTTGTTGGATCTTATTTAGCATTTTAAATGTATGCAAATCTTATAAGACATTACAACAACGGTTTCATAACCAAAATATTAATTAATTTTAAAAATTAATGAATAATATACATTTAGAGATGTAAATGTCCCATAAACAAATGCAATTTGTCCATTCAAATTCATGACAAAATACAGTGCTGCAAATGGTGCACCATGATTGTTTCTATTATTGTAAATGCATTATTAGTATTGCTGCTGCTGCTACTTCTACTATTGCTGTATAGAGATCTTTAAATGTGCAAGTTAAAAATAATATTTGCATACTACTTGGCAAATTTACCCAACATTTGCAGTGTACTTTTAAATTTCTTTAAAAAAAAATACTAAGTGACTGCAACCAATCACTGTAGGTCAGTATAAGTTTGTTGTGGAGGAGTTTTATCCCACACCTCCTGCAGAACTGCCTAAATGATGAATAATCGGTTGAGTGTCAAGCATGGATTCATTTCAGGTTGACTCCTCTATTAGCTTAAGGGACAGTCCAACTGTTTTTAAAGCACTTTAGCCATGCAGACGTGGGCGCTTGCTTTTGGCTCATCGTGTTTTCACTAAGTGTGTATCTTAACTCTGATTCAACTAGAGGTCATTGAACGATGATTAATTTTCTGATCCAGATCAGAACTTGATTGTACTGCAGAAATAAATCATGCAAGTCTTACTAATAGATACAAATTACATCAATTTATTATCTTATTTATAAACACATTTGAGACCGACATCACGCCCCCTGTATTAATGTATTAGGCTCGGCTTTGCAATAAATAAAACAACTGAAGCATTAGAATTATCATCCGGTGAAGGGTCGTGTTATATAAATCTAGCATATAAATTATAAATTATATAAATCTAGACTGCTCTTTCTTTTTTCCTTCCAGTTGCTGCATTAGCAAAACCCAAACTATTTGAGAGCATCATTTCACCATTATAACACAGCTAAATTATTATACAGATTATTTGTTAATATTACTCTTACTAATTATATACCTTTTTTAAATAATTAAAAAAAGATGAAACGAGTTAAGCTTATACCCATATACTCCATAAGTTAGACCATAAATAGAGAGATATTTAATATTCAAAGAGACATTTAAATGTTCATGTTATACATTTAACAGAATTATATAAAAGTGCTAAGAGCAAATAAAGCTAATATTTGCTTGCAAGTGAAGAATAATCACTTAATGCAGATTCATATTTTCATATGTGAATTAATACGGCTCCATTTTAATTCTATTTAGATTTCATTCTTTTTTATGTCAAAATCACGATTTGTTCATCCAAAAACATTAACAACAAACAGTGTAATAGTAGTAATAAGCTTATTTATTGCTTAATAATCAAGTTGTATGACTTGGCATATTCAATATTTCCAGATAAGTGCATTTAATCTGTTTTTGTAGTATAAAACCAAAGCCTGAAGTTTTACCTTCTTATTCTTGGTTTATTAAAATTAATATAAATTTAAGTTCTCATGACTTATTAGGGTTTACAGTGTAGTAATATGTATTGCTTAAATGTAATATATATATA